TTTTTTCTCCTTTAATAATTTCAAAATTCCTTTCGCGGGGATACGAAAGTCGGGCATCACGAAATAAAGACAACTGCTTTTCGTGGTGTCGAAGCGGCTTTGAAATCAACAAATAGAATAATATATAAAAAGACATTCACTCATTCCTTGTATGGAAAAAAATGCCTAGAGCCGTCAGTAAAAAAATTATTAAAAATCAACGCGATTTCTCAGCCACTTAAAATTTGTACATTACCTAGAATTCTCCATTCGGTGTTGCCAGGAAAAAGGGACAGAACTTCTTTATGGGTAGGCGGCCTTCGGCCGCACTTAGAGATTATAACCCTCACGAAGTAGAATTCTCTTTCTGTGCTCCCGCAGAAGAGGGACTGAACACTTTTCTGCGTAGGCGGCCTTCGGCCACACTTAGGGCTAATAGCCCTCACGAAATAGAAATCTCGTTTCTGTGTTGCCGAAGAAGAGGGCTGAACCCCTTTTGCATAGAACACCGTTCTGCGCAGGCGGCCTTCGGCCGCACTTACGAATTATAACCCTCACGAAGTAGAATTCTCCTTTCTGTGCTGCCGAAGAATAGGGGCTGAACACTTTTCTGCGTAGGCGGCCAACGGCCGCACTTAGGGATTATAACCCTCACGAAGTAAAATTCTTTTTTCTGTGTTGCCGTTTTATATGAAAAAAAAACCTCAGGCAACATGTGCTTAAACCTAACTATATAAAATTATATATCAATTTAAAGGTATTTCTTAACGTCGTTTTAATACTAAAGAAATTGGCTTAACATTTATATATATAAGATGGTCATGATTGTCCTTAAACTAACTTAGATAATAAAAGTTTAAGTCTCTACGATAAGCAGAACCCCAGATATAACGTTTTGAAGGATTACATGATTAGTCAGAATCACGAAAATATCCAAACTTTGACAGATCATATCTCCGAAGAAAAAAATTAAAAAAAAAAAAATTTACTCGAATACGTGTTGGCTTATTTCATGTATAGAACCCATAAAAAAAATTTGAAGCGAATCGAAAGTGTGACATCAAATTTGGTGTCCGATATGAAAAAGAATGCCTCATATGTATTTATCACTACGTATAGATAATTAATTCTAAATTTTTAGTTTTCCGAGTTGGTGAGAAAAGTTCCGAGATGATGAGGAAGAATAAAACATAGCTGACGGTTCATCAACACTTTAATTTTATATTTTATTTTAAAACTAAAAGTATTTTTTTTTTATCTGAGAGAAGCATTCAATCACCTTAATTTATATAAAACATAAAAAAACTAAAACAGAAGTAAAAAATAATAAATAAAAAAGCGAAGTCTAAATTCGTAATTTGTAATAAAATAAAAAAATGCAAAGTACAAAAAAAAAATAAAACAGTGGTCTACGTTTGTAATCGATAGAAAAATTGTAAATATAAAAACTAAAACAAAAAAAATAACAAATACCAAAAAATTCTAAAAGTGAAGTCTAAATTCGTAGTGTGACCTCCTCCTGGTGGGCTTAGGAAACTGGCCGTATTGGATTTGTCATTTTGAATTTTTAAAATCTAACTTTAAATTCGTGACCAGTGGTGAGTCTAGAAATCATAGAGTAACAAATTTCAAGCCAATCCGATTACTTTGCACAATCCCAGCAAACACGGTCTCTGACGTTAGAGAAATTTTGATTTCTACATTAGATAACTAGGGTAATTCTCTAATCGTTCACGAGTCGATGACGAAGTTAGAGAACT